TGTCACACCCTTTGATGCTCTAGGAGCTCTCAGAAAGCGGTCTGACAGGCAGAAACGCAGGGACCTTCACAAAATACTAACCAAGGCAAACAAGCACAAGAGGGTCCCTCCTCCCCCACGTCCCTCCGGACGGAGCAGACCATTTCCTCTGTCTAGGCTCCACGATTCTGAATAGATGTAGACACGTAGTACTTGATTTTTGAAAGTGAAGCATCATACAGCACACTCGAGCATTCATACACACTGTAATTAACTGTATAGCCAATATTTACTATGATGTTACCTGATCTTACGTTGGTCGCTCTCAGGACATTGGAACACAAAGAGAAAGAGAGGAGGAGGATGTCTTATTGGACCAGGTAGGGCACCGTCAAATGTCTGTTTCATCACCAGACACATGCATGCATCCATTATTGATGTAGTCCAAGTTATTAATCATGGAAAATGAATGTTCAAGAACATTGAATCCACTGGTCAGTAAAAGCAACATTTGTGAGTTATTTCATAGCATCCTCTAGTTATAGCTTCTTCCACTCATCAAATAGCTTCCGGGGTATAATTTCATGACTTTACCACATACCCATTCATACTGTCACTCATTCAGTTTCTCGTACCCTCTTTCTCTTTCCTACTACCCTACCCTGTAAGGCTCAATGTCACTTCCTTCTGCCTTCATTTTCACTACCTTTGCCATTCTCACATTTCACCTGTTATTGGTGGGAACAGTGATGAACAAGACAAGTGGATTCAAGGTCTGAGATCACCACTTTCACCTTTCTCCCATCTCACCTTCTGTTAGTGGGAACCCTAATGATATGTCTGGCCAAGAAATAGAGTGAGAAATAAAAGGTGAGAAGAGGAGGTCGCTCTATTTCATAGACATGTCATCACTGTTCCTACTAACGGAAGGTGAGATGTGAGAAAGGTGAAGGTGACATACTGTGGAGCATGAAAAATAGTATCTCTGATGGTGGACAGTCATCACATTTCTCTAGAATTGATGATACTGGAATTCCTGCCGTGAAACAATGATGCTATCAATTGGCTATTGGTAGTCAATCACAGACCACAAATATTCACAGGAGGCCCACCTGAATATGTGATCCATATAAGTAGATCTCAGACTTCAGACATCTAGTGATCTTATTGGACCAGGTAGGACATTGTCAAATGTCCATTCCATCACCAGACACGTGCATCCATCTATTATTGATGTCATCCAAGTCATCAATCATGATCTGAATGTGCAATCCAGGTTACTTGACAGTCTGAATGCCCTGACGATACCAGGTGTGTGAGCCTGTAGGCACAACTCCCTACATCACATCTATTATTCTTGGCTTGCATATACTGGCAGTCACTATAGTTTTTAACTTGTTCAATAAATAGACAAACTTATCTATGTGTCATAGCCAGTGGCTCATCTACTTACATAGGGTGCGAGGACAGAATTTTATGCTGGTTTCAGACATCTTTCTTGAAGTTTGAGTCACCCAGGTGTATAGAGAATCCAGTGACAAACATACAAGTATGATGGTCATTCTACCTCGAACACTTCAAGAAGCGAAATTTGTTGTTCATATCGGTGATAATATTAGACTCATGCAGGGTGACATCAACGGAAAACCATCCCAGAAGTGAAAATTATTATTAGTACTGTCAGCAATGGCTTGATCTTCGTAGAGGGTGACAACAACAACACAGGCCCTCAAAAGCGAAAATTTATTAGTCACATTAGGTGCTATTAACAGGGATTTGACTATCATACAGGGCGACACGAAGAATAAATGCACAAAGTCAAAAATGCCGTCAGAAGCAACATTTGTTAGTACTGACAGTAGTTTGACTCTCACAAAGGGTCACACTAACCAAGATTCCCCCGGATCTGAAACAGTTGGTGCCATCAACAATGGCTCGACCCTCACAAAGGGTTACACCAACCACAAAAGCCCCCGGAATCAAAACAGTTGGTGCCATAAACAATGACTCGACCCTCACAAAGGGTTGCACCAACCATAAAGCCCCCACAAGGGAAAGGGGTGGTGTCATAAACAACGACTAGACCCTCACAAAGGGTTGCACCAGCCATAAAGCCCCCAGAATCAAAACAGTTGGTGTCATAAAAAATGACTTGGCCCTCACAAAGGGTTGCACCAACCATAAAAGCCCCCAGAAGGGAAAAAGGTGGTGTCATAAACAATGACTAGACCCTCACAAAGGGTTGCACCAGCCATAAAGCCCCCAGAATCAAAATGGTTGGTGCCATAAACAATGACTAGACCCTCACAAAGGGTTGCACCAACCATAGAATCAAAACAGTTGGTGTCATAAACAATGACTCGACCCTCACAAAGGGTTGCACCAGCCATAAAAGCCCCCAGAAGCGAAAAAAGGTGGTGCCATCAACAATGGTTTGACCCTCACAAAGGGTAACACCAACCACAAAAGGCCCCAGAACTACAAAGACAAAATATGTACAGTTTACAAAGGGACAGCAATTAAATACATGAGTGAGGGAGGGAGAAGCAAGAAAGAGAATTTTTTGGTTCAAGTTGACCGCATTTTTGCTTATATAATCATTGTCACATCAGGCCACAATAATAAAGCCACATCTTATCATAAGAAATATTCGATGAAACAGCACATTTTTGTGCATATGATCAGCGTCAATCAAACGAAAGCTATATATTGTAATTGGAAGATGCTTGTTGAAATTTTGCAAGTTGGCTTATTAGAAGCAAATAACCAACATTGATATGCTGCCTCCCTCTCTAAGATTGATTTTCCAGCCATCATATGACATGTATGACTGTATCTTGAACTTGTTCCTGAGGTTATTGAACCATCTAAATCGAGTGGGCATGCCCATTTCATGTGTAAAAATCATGTTTCAAATTTGAACACCCCTGTCATGCTGCCTTACCCTCTAAGATCGATTTTTTCAGCCTTCACATGACTTGCCTGGCTCAAGATAGGACTTGTTCTAGAAGTTATTGAGCCTCCTGAATCTGATAGCAGCATTTGTTTGGTGCGAAAAAATCATGTTCCAAAGTCATGAGTTATCAAGTCCTGTTGTGCTGAGGCCCTCACCCAAAGTCAATTTTGTCAGCCTTTGCATGACTTGCATAGCTTGATCTCAGGCTTATTTCTGAAGCCATAGACCAGTAGGAGCAACAATTTGATATGGCAAAGTCATGTTGTTGCAAAGTTGCCCACCTATGGTCAAGTTGACCGCTTTTGCTTATGTAAGCAATGTCACCCCTGTTATGCTGCCTCACCCAATGATTGATTTTTTGAGCTTTCATATGACTTGCTTGGCTTCAAATAGAACTTGTTTTTGGGGTTATTTGGCCGTCTGAATCTGATGGGAACACTGGTTTGGTCCGAAAAAATCATATTTCAGAGTGATGCTACCCCCTCCCCCTACCTACTACCTACTGTGCCCAGAGGCAGGATTCCATGTCGATACTGATGTATAAAAGGATGTTCCTAGTGTTTTTGTATCATATTAAGTGATTGGAGATGGTCTCAGAGTCATCCGGGCCCATGTGAATTGTGATGTGTCAGTTTGCCTGATGCCCCCCCCACAAAGATCGATTTTTCTAGGCTTCCCATGACTTGTCAGTCCTTCAGGAGCATCCTTCCTGGGGGTTATTGAACCCTCTGAACATGATGGTCAAGCCAGATTTGCCAGAAAAAATCATGTTCTTGAGATATGCAAGGTCCCCCTCCCCCTCCTATCTCATATATCTTCATATTATGTGAATACTGATATATCAAAGGATGTTCCTAGTGTTTTATGATCACAGGAATCGATTGGAGATGGTCCCAGATTATTTCTAGCCTGTTTGAATTGAAATATGTCAGTTTGCCTCATACCCCCCACAAAGATCGATTTTTACAGACTTCCCATGACTTGCCAGTGCTACAAAAGCATTTTTCCTGGGGGTTCTTGATCCACCTGAACACGATGGTCGAGCCAGATTTCCCAGAAAAAATCGCGTTCTTGAGATATACAAGGTCCTCCTCCCCCCTCCTACCTCCTATATTTTGCTGTGCTTGAATTTAACTTAAGACCGATACTGTAAAGGCCTGTCCTAGGGTTTTTTAGGTGTAGGAATCGATTGGTGATGATCCTGGACCACCTGGAGATCAATATTGGTGACATATGGTGGTGGGGCCAAAAAGTCAGTATTTTGGCCATATCTCCACAACCCAACCGCCGATTTCTTTAATTGTTGGCTCATATCATTCCTAGAAGTACCCTCCATGATATGTACCAGCCCATGAAAAGAGATTTTTTCACAAGTTTGAAACCTATTTCTGAAATGACCATATAAGTGATTGAAAGCCGAGGCTTTGGCCTGGCTTCAGACGGCTTCAGCTTTGAAGAACTGCAGGCCAGGCCAAAGCCGTCAATGGCGGCTTGGCTTTGGCCTGGCTCGGCCTGAGCCGCGGCCCAATACAAGTAAATGAGAACATAATGGGTAGCGACGAGTAGTGGCAAGTAGTGAGAACATGAAGCACGTAGTTGAGCCGTTCGAGCGTCCAGTGTCTCAATGCTCGCATTGAGGTAGGCGTCGAGCTTACCAGCTTAGAATAGTTTGAATACAAACTTGAAGAACAAAATTAGAATTTACAAAATCTGTGCATACCACAAGCGGGTGAGAGTAGAAAGCGAGAGCACAGCATGGCTCGAGCTCGAAGGAGGATCGACACACTCACAGGCTTTCAAAGGATCAGCAAGGCCCGAGTTCGACAGAAGATCAACACACACTTTCTGTCAAGGGATCAACAATTCATTCTGTCAGCGAGGCCTGAGCACAGAGGATCAACACACTCACATACTATCAAGGGATCAGCGATGCGTTCGGTCAGTGAGGCTCGAGCTCTACAGAAGATCTACACACTCACTATCTGTCAAGGGATCCGCGACGCGTTTGGTCAGCAAGGCTCGAGCTCCACAGAGATCATACACCAATATGCATGAACACTATGCACTAGTCTAAAGGCATGTCCCTGTCGCAGGCCAACCGCTGGACTGCTTGGTGCAGCACTCGGGCAGCTCGTTTGGAATTCATTGTGCCATCCCCACACAAGCTTTTGTAGAATGCCTCGACTAAACACTGCGCAGTGCTATCATTGACCTTCCATAATGTCCCAACTACAGTCTTAACCCTGGCAAATTGCAGGCCAGCCGCTAGATGTATAACTTCGTTGGGCGTACTAAAGGTACTGACCGTGGTTTCACAGTGCATGAACATTCCTCTCATTTCCGTTTTTGCCTTCCATATATAGACATTCCTCTTCCTTCCCCTAAGCCAAATATAGGCACAGAGGAAGGAAGAGGAATGTGGAATGGAGGAAGGGAGACGAATATCATGTACAAATATAGGCATATAGGACGGAAGGAAGAGGAAGGAAGAGGAATGTGGAATATGGAATGGAGGAAGGGAGAGGAATATTGATACAGAGGAAGGAAGAGGAATACTAGGCACCACCTTCCCACCACTGTGTCGATATTCCTCTCCCTTCCTCCATTCCACATTCCACATTCCACATTCCTCTTCCATTCCTCTTCCTTCCTCTTCCTTCCGTCCTATATGCCTATATTTGGCAAGGAACCTAACCGTTTCGGGACACTTACATCACCAGATTCCGTCTTTTCTCATGGGACCTGACTTGGCATTCCTCTCTAACCAAAATCCTGATTCCTCTCCTACCATTTCAGGACATCACTAACCCATTTAAGGAAATTCATTCGAATGAATTCTATGGGACCCAAAGCTGACAACTCATATAGATAGGACATCACTAACCCATTTAAGGAAATTCATTCGAATGAATTCTATGGGACCCAAAGCTGACAACTCATATAGATATACGTGGGAGTCACAGGTGAGCTCAGACGCTTGAAAGATTTGCATAGCTTATTGTGGCTCTTATCTACATAGTTGAAATAAGGTTTATATTTGGTCGAACACCATTATGCCGATGACGACCGAAATATTGTGAAAATTAGGAACTTGAAATCAGTCCTTAATAATTCCAACAGCATTACAGCTTACATGGAGCCAAATCTCAAGGATCGACTGGCTGAACTGCGACAGTATCTCAAGGCGCTACCATCCAACATTCCCGTCCCAAAGGAATCAAAGTATAATTTTTCCGACTTCAGCTTGGACGCCGATTGGACTGCAGAAATCGGAGAAGCTGCAGCTGTCAACCGAGAACTAGAGGTCAGGTTTGGAAGGCGTGCTGGTGGCCTGAAAATCGTGGAGCGAGGGCCAGAGACAGAAGCTGTTGTGGATGTTCTCGAAACTTGGATCAAAAAATATCCAGGCGACATTCTCTTAGAGAAGTGGGTCTATGACACTCTCGAAGCTGCGCGAGGTCTCATTCTTGCAGCCGGCAACACTGTGAGTCAGTTTTATCTTATTTCTAATAAAATATTGACGTACTAGTATATAGTTGCCAGTCTTCGACGTGGAAGTAGATTCTACGAAGCACAAGCCAGTCAATGTCAATAATCATCAACCCGAGAAAAGAAAGAAGGTTCAGAAACTCGATACACATGTCCTGTCAACCTTCGATGATGACCGGTGCCTTGATGCTGATGAAGACGAGGATGCTCGCAAAGGTGGTGCTAAGATGCACCCACTACTTCGCAAGATTTCGAAGCCTTGTCGTCTGGCAAGCGATCCTACTGGTACCAAAATTGTGCGGTGCATTGCTAGCCATGGGTGTGTAATGTGACATGGGCATGGCCAAGAGCTCGACAACGTATAATGAAGCACGCTGCCCTTGAGTGTCCAAGCATGGCGAAAGAGTGGCGGAAAGAAGCAAGAGAGTATATGGCGTCCCAGGCAACAGGAGGGAAAGCAAAGGTCGCAGAAGAAGCATTGGACTCGGATTCTAACGAACATGTTCTTGCGTCGGAGGTAACAGAACGGCCAATGAAGAAAGCGAGAATGGAGTTGCAGGCTGCATCAAGTTCAAAATCAGTCGTGCCATTCAATAAGGCATATGTTACGGAAGGAACAAAGCAGTTGAAGATGAATGGGGATCTAAGAGACTAAAACTGCCATCCGTGCAATTACTAATGCGCGGTTCAAACAGATGATCAACGACGCACCAGATGATCCATATATCACAGCATTCTTCTTGAACCCAGGTGAGTGATGATCCGTAGTATGGTCGTTGGAGCTGATACTAATTCGTTGGATCTCCAAAGAATATAGAGCAGCGCAGATCTACAAAAATATCAATCCTCTCGACTTGCCGCCTATTCAATTAAGCAAATCTAATAGAACCTATGCTGTTGTGTCCCCCGAAGATGCGATTATCAAGAGAGTTGGCACGAGTCTCCAGCGCATGTTAAAGCACGAATACGGTGATGTTTACGATGGGGTAAGGTCGAACCAAGTTGCTGCAAAACTCATGAAGGAGAGAAATCCGCGCTTGGCTGGATTGACGCCACGAGAGGCTCTGCAGTCACTGAAGGTCGAGCTCAAGGAGTATAGCAAAGGTGCAGATCCTTTCAACCGCAAGCCTCGCAAAAACGAGAATGTTCGGGATTGGTGGCTCGCTGTCCAGAAAGATGAAAACGCGCAGGTTCTTGGGGTGATAAAGTCATTTACGCGATTGGTTCAATTCACTAAAGTCTTGTTCTTGTGTCAGGCTCTCGCGATCAAGTTATATTCTGTGGTACCGGTGTCAATGGCTGACGAGAGGACTGTGTCGACCATAACGTGGCTCAATAGTCCTACTCGGAGCCGACAAGACATCGCAACATTAAAAGAAACCATTCAAATTCGCCAGTGGCACCGCTGGAAACCTGATGTAAATTGCCTTTGCTCGTTCGGACTATTGAAAGACTGATGTACATCTAATTCAGTCAGTGGCATCAAAAACGGCTCCTTCGGTCAAATGGCGCGATATGCATGCAACCATCCTCGGTGACCAACAACCTGAGAAGCCAACGGTCGTTCCACCACCTGTCCGACCACCTATGAAAAGAGATGTCGCAATAAACGACTCGGATGACGAGACCAGTGAGGGACAGTGGCCTTATGATGGTGATGACGTGAGCTTCGATGGAGAAAAAAGTGACAGGTTTGATGTTGGTGATCACATCAACTTATCATCAGGATTCCTTCTCGATATTCTCTCAGACCAGCCTGTGCAGCTTGAGCCAACCGCTTCCGCGAGTCACGGACCTCCATCCAAGCTGACGTCTGACACTGCAACTTCATCGACGACACCAATGGATGACGAGTGGGAGACATGGGAGTCTGTAGAGTAAATTACAGTCAATTAGGTGAAATTCACCTGCAAATTAACGCTAATTAGCGTCAAAAAGCTGGAGCTTTCGGGGGCTCTGCCCCCGAACTCCCGTCAGTAAATTTTGTGTGAATTTCGTGTCATTCACACCTGTAAATTTGGCCCTCTGCGAGGGCCATGCTAATTAGCCTGTCAACCAGACGCCATACCCTAATTCCCGGGACCCTAGTCACGGTGCATTCTTCGACACTTTAGCAATGCAGGACAACTGCCAGGAACTATCTGAGCCCGTGTATAGTATGAAATGGCTAGCGAGGATAGACAAGCGGCTTCAATCACGCGTAGCGGAACGGCAGGCTCTCTGTATGTCGCACCAGCATATTTCATTCTATCTAATATCCTCGATAGTGTTCGCTAGGTACCAGGCGGGCACGATGAAACGGAACAAGCAGAGAGCAGAACGCGATGCATGCTCGGCTATATTGCGAGAGGCCACTGGTGCGTCACAAGGATATTTCGCCCCGTCGACTGCTGATGTACTCGATACAAAGGGCTTTCTAAGTCGGATATTCACAAGAAATTCAGGAGACAGGGGAGGGCAAGGAGGAAGGCATTGATTGCGGCAGAACAAGACACTGGTGCGTATTTTGAATATCTTATGTCCACTAGTTGTAAGTAATGTCTATAGAGAAAGCGGTAACACAAATTTTAGCGGACACGCAAGCGCTGCTAGTAGAGAAAGAGGCGGAACTCCTTGCAATGCGAGATGTAGCACAAAGGGATGCGTTGCTCGCAGCAGAGAAAATTGCATTTTGGAAGAGAGAATGGACGATCTACTTGTAGTGCTAAAAGAAGGAGGCGTCTGACTAGCTTTGACCTCTTCATCTTCAAGATCGCTGTCAGATGCGTATCCGTAGTCATCAAGTGCCATGCCATCCTCGAATGCTGAGCGCTGAGTGCGTACGGCATAACCATTTGCCTTCTGCATGAAGCTGCGACACCTTCGAAGCCATGTCAACACAACTTTGTCACCTACAAGGGCGAAGACTTGTCCATTGAGGCAGTAGGTTCAAACAGCCGAGGATATAGGACCGTGCTTGTCCTTCCGATAAAGCATTCAGTGGCACTTGAAGTATCGCTTGACGAGCGCGTCCGAGTCTATGGCATTGTCAAGATATCAATCCAGAAAGTTGCGCGTACGAACACCACATACAGATGTTTTTTCCAGACC